TCTTTTCAGCGTAACAGTATTCATTGTTTTTGCACCGCACCCTGTGCTCCATGCAATCCGTGCCCTCTCTAACACCCACCACCTAGTTCCCCCAACCTCCCACCCTCCTGCCCCTTCAAAACCCTCAGATTGTTTTTCAGAGTCCATAGTCTCTCATGGTTCACCTCCCCTTCCAATTTCCCTCAACTCCCTTCTCCTCTCCATCTCCCCTTGTCCTCCATGCTATTTGTTATGCTCCACAAGTAAGTGAAACCATATGATAATTGACTCTCTCTGCTTGACTTATTTCACTCAGCATAATCTCTTCCAGTCCCGTCCATGTTGATACAAAAGTTGGGTATTCATCCTTTCTGATGGAGGCATAATACTCCATAGTGTATTTGGACCACATCTTCCTTATCCATTCGTCCATTGAAGGGCATCTTGGTTCTTTCCACAGTTTGGCGACCAAGGCCATTGCTGCTATAAACATTGGGGTACAGATGGCCTTTCTTTTCACTACATCTGTATCTTTGGGGTAAATACCCAGTAGTGCAATGGCAGGATCATAGGAAGCTCTATTTTTAATTTCTTGAGGAATCTCCACACTGTTCTCCAAAGTGGCTGTACCAACTTGCATTCCCACCAACAGTGTAAGAGGGTTCCCCTTTCTCCACATCCTCTCCAACACATGTTGTTTCCTGTCTTGCTAATTTTGGCCATTCTAACTGGTGTAAGGTGGTATCTCAATGTGGTTTTGATTTGAATCTCCCTGATGGCTAGTGATGATGAACAATTTTTCATGTGTCTGATAGCCATTTGTATGTCTTCATTGGAGAAGTGTCTGTTCATATCTTCTGCCCATTTTTTTATATGATTGTCTGTTTTGTGTGTGTTGAGTTTCAGGAGTTCTTTATAGATCCTGGATATCAAATCAACCTTTTGTCTGTACTGTCATTTGCAAATATCTTCTCCCATTCCGTGGGTTGCCTCTTTGTTTTGTTGACTGTTTCCTTTGCTGTGCAGAAGCTTTTGATCTTGATGAAGTCCCAAAAATTCATTTTTGCTTTTGTTTCCTTTGCCTTTGGAGACATATCTTGAAAGAAGTTGCTGTGGCTGATATCGAAGAGGTTACTGCCTATGTTCTCCTCTAGGATTCTGATGGATTCCTGTCTCACATTGAGGTCTTTTATCCATTTTGAGTTTATCTTTGTGTACGGTTAAGAGAATGGTCGAGTTTCATTCTTCTACATATAGCTGTCCAGTTTTCCCAGCACCATTTATTTATTTATTTGACAGAGAGATCACAAGTAGGGAGAGAGGCAGGCAGAAAGAGAGAGAGGGAAGCAGGCTCCCCACTGAGCAGAGAGCCCGATACAGGGCTCGATCCCAGGACCGCAGGATCATGACCTGAGCTGAAGGCAGAGGCTCAACCCACTGAGCCACCCAGGTAACCTTCAATCTATTTTCTAAAGAAGCTTCTTTAGGGGCACCTGAGCAGCTCAGTCAGTTAAGGGTCAGACTGGGTTTCAGCTCAGGTCATGATCTCTGGGTCACAGGATCAAACCCTGTGTTGGGCACCCTGTTCCACAGAGAGTTTGATTCTCTCTCTCCCCCTCTGCCCCTTTTCTCTGCTCATTCTCTCTCACAAATAAATAAATAAAATCTTAAAAAAAAAGAAGCATCTCTAATTCTAGTTGTTCATTTTCAATTCCACTTTACAACAGTCATTAAAATTTTAAATTGGTGAATGTAAATCTCTGCTTGTTTACATGGAGGGTATACATTACATTTTACACAGTAAAAATTAAAGATTTGGGGGGTAGGGGTAGGGGGCAGGAAGGAGGGCTCCTCTCCTTCTGACTCCAGGAATTGTGAGAGAAGAGTCAAATGTCACAGAAGGAAGCAGTCATGCTTACGGGTTCCTATCTTTCCTGTCCAGGTTTTGACCAGAATTGGGGGGTGTGAAAGCCTGTTTGATAAATTGAGGGGGACCCTCTGAGAGGATGTCTCTCTGCAAGTCACTTCCTTAACTTCATGGGTGGCCAGCATGGTTAACTGGTAGTCAGGCAGAAAAATAATTTAGTTTGTACCCTTGAGTGTCCCTTAGTTTGTACCTGGTGAGGATGTGGAGTCAAGGAGCAGTATGTCTGTCTAGGTTCCTGCCAATTCAGAAGATTCTCAGCCTGGGCCAGCAGCCTAATGTTGTGGCAGGAACAGAAACAGTCCTCCATTCCAGCCAGAGCTGGAGAGGTTGCTATGCCTATGCCCAGGCATGATGGAGAATGAATGGATCATGAGGCCATTAGCTACAAAGCAGCAGATGCCAGCCAAAAGTTCGGGGTTGGTATGGGATTGTCCTTCCTCAGCAGACACCAGCCGCATAAACAGGACCAACAGGAGACCAAGGCACCCTCTTCCCCCTCTGCCCGGGCTTGCCCCTCCCCCATATCTCCCCTGCCATCTTAGAAAGGACTAATGAGAAAAGATTAGAAACCCAAATAAATAAGCTGGCAACGTAAAGAGGATGAGCAAAACCATAATCACCCTTCAAATGAATGGTTCAGGCTAAGTTTACACCCCTTTGGACTAAACTCTGTGAATCCTCTTTCCAACTTCCCAGCGGAAATTTGGTAAGATCCAAATTGTTTTGGAGACTAAAGAAATTTCTTTGCATGCACAGCTGGGGTTGTCCTGTGAGTGATTTTAGTGAACCAGCTAAAGTATGAACTCATTTTTTGGGTAAAACGTGTATACATGTATGCATATCTGCATAGAGAAATGTTACTAGTAGTAGACTGCATGGGGGGAATTTGGGGTGGTTTTTACTTTTATGTTTTTTGCCTCTCTTTATTATTGGAGCTGTCTGTCTGCTTACTCTTATTGTACCATATTTCCAAAATGCAAAAAAAAAAAAAAAAAGATTTTTAAGAGCTTATTTCAAACCTCTTAACTATTTCACACTGAAATAGTCATTTTGATTTGGACTGAAAACCATTTCAGTTTTCATATCACTGAACCCACGTAACTAGTAGTCAAGGACTTGGCTTCTGACTCCAGAGAACCTGCATGTTTCCCTGTTCATTGCACTCTAGAGCCCCTAAAAAGATTCTGTAATTTTCTCATGGTCATGTTGAAAGTGACACATGAATTCAAGACATGATCATCAAGTTAAACAAAACCTTAGTGAGTTTTTTTTTTTTTTACTTTGACTTGTTTTTAGATCTGTCTCAGAGAAAAGGAAAGATAATAGAAACAATTAAGTGGAGAGTATTATACTTTTGCTCTCTGGAGCAAGCAGTTCTGTTCTTTCTTTCTTTTTTTTTTTTTTTCTTTAGTGACTAAAGTTTAGAGAGGGACGCTCTCTGTGATTGTAACTATGTAACAGACAAAATAATGGGTGTTTTTTTTTTCTCAGCGACTGTGGATTATACCGTTAGTACTAAGAATGCTGATAAGATCATAGAAATCAGTTGTTTTCAATCCTGTCTTCTACCACAAAAGTCTGGATGTGTTACTGATCAGTGAGATGTATTAGGATGGAGCCATTGAAATAGATCAGGTTCTATCCAAGAGACCTGACTTCCTCACTAGTCTTATATGAAATGGCTTCTCGTTGCTTTTCTTTCAGTCCCACTTCCTACCAGTTTTACAGTTTTTTTTTTTTAATTTCATTTGATCCTGAACATAACTTCAAGTGGTATCAAGATCTGCATTTTGGGGATGAGTAAATGAGGCTCAAAGTTAAGTTCTCGTCCAAGTCCTACAGCTGGGGAGAGGAATGGCTGGGAACAGCTCCTGCCCCTGTCCATTCTCACTTTGGCTACACAGGACCCTGACAGGTGCTGACCACGTGGGGGTGGGGAGGCGGTCCCAGTATTTTATTAAGAAGCAAAGATAGTGCCTTGCCTTTGGCTCCAATTATTGCATTTCTTACACTTACCTTGAAAAATGCCCACTGACAGATATTCATGTCTTCACACTTGTCCCTTCCTCAGAGGAAATCAGTAGAACGTCTTCCAAGGAAACAGTGCAGGGACTCACTGCCCTCTGCGGAACACCTTCTTCTCCACTGAAGTCTGTAATCTTAAGAAAGGCAGCCACTGGACCTAGGGTTCCCAGTCTAAAAATTATCGAATCCGCTAAGAAATTCCATTGTCCTATCCGTCCCACTCAGTCCCTTTATGAAGGAGGAACTCCAAGGTGTTTGCTGTTGGCACAGGACTGGCTTATCTCAGCATCATCAGGAGCAGGTAAAGGGCAGGAGCCTAGGTTACCGGTGCTTAGAGCTGTAATTGCCATACTAGTTAGTAATAATTACAAGGATGAAGCCTTCAAAAGTTGAACTTAAAAACCACTGCACTAGAATCTAGTAGAAAAGACTTGTTCATAGATACTGAAGACCTAGCCTGAACTTGTGTATTTACTTGTTAGAGGATTTGGAGTAAATTACTAAATTTCTTGATGGTTCAATTTCCCCATCAGCTATGATGAACAGTGCCTTGTTAAGGGGCCACACAGAGGGGAAGTTATTTGTAATAATAACAATCACTATTATTATTATTAGCATTTAGTCTTTAAATAGGGAAGATGCTTTTGAAAGTCATATATAAACTATGAAACATAAAACTCAAAATGCCTGAAAAGATACAGCAATAATAACCAGTATAATATTATTGTTCTCATTCCCCAGCCTGCTTTTTTCCGGCTCTGTATTTCCTCCCTCCAATGCTTGCAGAAGTCAGCATACCCATTCTTCACCACCGTCCATCACATTTCTTTTTCTTTTCCCGTATGAATTACGCTGACTTTCAAAACTTCACATCTTTCGTTCCTGACACCTCGCTCCTCCCACTCTCCAACATACCTTTGAAATACATGCTGAAGAAACTTTAAATGTCTAGGCTGTTTAATCACATGTAATTTGGTGGGCAAATGGGTGTGGCTTACTAAGGGTTATCGTGCCTAATTGTGTGGTTGGTGTTTGTTGTTGTTGAACTATCTATCACAGGAATAAAATAATGGAGACCCTCACGGCCGTGATGAAGAGCATGGATGCGTCTGTTGAGACCACAGTGTTCGACTATGAGGATTCAGTGCCATGTGAAAAAGTCAACATCAGGGAGCTGGGAGCCCAGTTCTTGCCCCCGCTGTACTCCCTGGTGTTCGTGGTTGGTCTGCTGGGCAATGTGGTGGTGGTGGTCATCCTCACAAAATATAAGAGGCTCAGGATTATGACCAACATCTTCCTGCTCAATTTGGCCATTTCTGACTTGCTCTTTCTAGTCTCTCTGGTATTCTGGATTCACTATGTTATGTGGAACAAGTGGGTTTTTGGTCCCTTCATGTGTAAACTCCTCTCTGGGCTTTATTACATGGGCTTATATAGTGAGATCTTTTTCATCATCCTGCTGACCGTAGACCGGTACCTGGCCATCGTCCACGCCGTGTTTGCCCTACGAGCCCGGACTGCCACTTTCAGTGTCATCATGAGTGTTCTAACCTGGGGCCTGGCAGGGCTAGCAACCGTCCCTGAATTTATCTTCTATGAGTCCCAAAAGGAGGCCTCCCAACATGTCTGCATGCCTCTTTACCCAAAAAACCAAGAAGATAGATGGAAGCGTTTCCATGCCCTGAGAATGAATATCTTGGGTCTTGCTCTGCCTCTGCTCATCATGGTTGTCTGCTACTCTGGAATTATTAAAACACTGCTGAGATGCCCCGGCAAGAAAAAGTACAAGGCCATCCGGCTCATTTTTGTCATCATGGTGGTCTTTTTCATTTTCTGGACACCCTACAACCTGGCCCTCCTCCTCTCTGCTTTTCAAACAGTCTTCTTTGAGACAAACTGTGAGCAGAGCAAACAGCTGGACGTGGCCATGCAGGTGACAGAGGTGATCGCCTACACGCACTGCTGCGTCAACCCCATCATCTATGCCTTCGTCGGAGAGCGGTTCCGGAAGCATCTCTGCCACTTCTTCCGCAGGCACGTGGTCACCTACCTGGGAAAATACATCCCGTTCCTTCCCAGCGAGAAGTCAGACAGAGCCAGCTTCTCTGTATCCCCATCAACAGGGGAGCAGGAATTCTCATTTGTATTTTAAGACAGATGCAGAAAATGACCTAATGTGCTGGACCCAAGGAGCAGAAGCATTATGTCGATCACATTGACCTCAACACCGGCCCTTAAACTTCTAGCTCAATGCTGAAACTCTTTAAGACATTAAAATATATACACAATGGGGTCAGTATATATGCGTGGCCCAGGCATTACCAGGGGTTGCTGGCCAGTCCGTTCACTTACTGTCTACCACAAAAGGTAGAGCTTTGCTTGGTTCTCTGAAGAGTTATATACATTGTAATGCCCCCGAATGTTAGAGAGTTATAACACTCGGCTACCTACAGGTAAATCCTTTTAAATTTAAACCTTAACTTCAGCCAGCTATTGCATAAATGAAACATATTTCACAAAATACAATGTATCAATCACAATCCTTTTAACATGACTAGCTCTCCCCTTGCTTGATGAAAAGGCTTTTTTCTTTTCATTTTTTTAGTGTATATGTACTCTCAAGCAGCATAATGGCATGCCATCCTTGTTCCGAGTATTTTTTTTAAGGATTTTATTTTTAAATAATTTCCATACCCAACATGGGGCTTGAACTCACAACCCAGAGATCAAGAGTTGCATGCTGTGCCGACTGAGCCAGCCAGGTGCCCCCCCTTTCAAGTGTGTTTATTAGTAAATGGATTTCCTTTTTATACCAAATGACCAGATTTCTTATGAGCAACTCAGTAGAAGAAAAGCAATTTGATATTTTCAGTAGAGAGAATAAAGACCTTGCTCGTTGAGACTTCTTGGAGTCCTGAAATGTGCAGACACTGTCTTCTTAAACACCAGGCTTACCATTCATTCAACAACTGTGTACCAGGTGATACAGACAGGATGCACCAACATTGCTTTAAGTCAAGTGAAGGATGCAAAAAGTGTTTAAGATAAACACAGTCCTTGCCCTGTAAAACATCTGCTAGGGGGTGTGAGACAGAAACAAATAACTCCAGAACAAAAAGAAACATCCTCAGTGCTCTCCTTGGGCCAGGAAGGGAGAGACCGTTTTTAGTTGGAATCTGAGGGAGGAAGACTTCATGGAAGAAGTGGCTTTTGAATAGGTCTTTGGAAATAGGGCAGGATTTGGAAAGGGAGAGGATTCGGGAAAGACACTTGAAGCCAGTGGGATGCCCAGTACAAAGGTGAGGGGGGAGGTCATGAACATGGATGGACAGGAGGGTGGGATGGGCAGGTTGGGATGGGTCAAGGATTTCAGGCAAGCATCTTGGGCTTTTTTGGGAAGACAAAGGGAGCTACTGAAGGGTTTAGAGCAGGGGAGGAGAATAATCACCATGGTGCGTTAGGAAGATAAGTCCAGTAACACAGGATGAAGTAGAGACCCCAGAACCATGCAGGGAGTTGGTTAGAAGAGAAGGGCACATATGAGGCAAGGAGAGATCAGTGGGTAATAAGAGAGGTGCGCAGAAGAACTTAGAGAGGAATTCAGCCAAGAGACAGCAGTGAAGGAAAGGTCAAAGCCCCAGGAGTGATATAAAATTGACTGGAAAAAAAAGCAAAGACAAAACAGCATGTATCCTATGTTTAAAAAAGGGGGGGGATAAACAGATTATTTGCTGTGTTTTGGGTGCATTCCCCATCCCTTAAAAAAATAGTAAAGGAAACAGCAACGTTTGGTTATCTTTAGGGGGGGATGAGGATGGAGAATAGAAGTATGACTTTTCTCTGCCTTGTGCCTTTTGGCTTTTGAACTATGGGAACATGTTAGCAATTAAAAACAAACAAAACTTTAGAATTATATATTAAAAGAAAAAAAAAAAAAGCTAGGCTGCTCTTCTGATGTGGTATCCATTCTACCAGCCAAAAGGGCATTGGAAACTCTGAAGTACCTTTTGTCTTTTTTGTGGTTCAGCCAGAATGTAAATAAAGCAATCATCTGAAGACTTAACTATACATCACTGTGTTTCTCTTGTCTGGTGAAGTAGTGTCTGTGCTTAGGTGGGCACAAGTGCAGGATATAGATACTTGGTCATATATCCAGGTCCCCGAAACCTTTAGGAGCGTTGGGACCCTCACAGAATGGCACATAACCAAATCACAGATTCAGTATCCTCCGTTTGGTCCTCTGGCCCCATGCTGTCCAATAGAACTAACTACAGGGATAGAAATTTGGGGGGGGGCACCTGGGTGGCTTAGTCATTAAGCGTCTGCCTTTGGCTCAGGTCATGATCCAAGGGTCCTGGGATCAAGCCCTGCATAGGGCTCCCTGCTCTCAGTGGGAAACCTGCTTCTCCCTTTCCCACTCCCCCTGTCTGTGTTCTCTCTCTCACTGTGTCTCTCTCTGTCAAGTAAATAAATAAAATACTAAAAAAAAAAAAAATAAGAAGAAGAAGAAGAAAAAAAGAGAAATGTTCTATACCTGTATTGTCCAGTAGGATCACCTACTAACCACATATAGCCCTTGAAATGTGGCCCCTGTGACTGAGGAACTGGACTTCTAATTTGTATTCAATTTTAATTGAAATAACCACAGGTGGCTTATAGTGGTTACATGGGGTCAACGGTGCAGCACTGACCTCGGCCGCCTTGCCCCTTTGTATCTGTTCTACCTACACATCAGGCTTCCATTAGCCAGCAAACACACACCTTGAACCCTGCATGCCAGACTAGGGAAAATACCAGTGATGCAAAGATGAATAAGACCCACTTCTATAAAACTCCCTCGCTGTTTGCTCGAAGAGACTCATCTGAAGCCAGTGATTATAATGAAACACGGCGGGTGCTTTCTCTGGCAGTAGGGAGTAGAAGGGAGTATTGAAGAAAAGTACCCAGAGAAAGTCACATTTTGCTTAGGTTGGCTCCCCCCAAGAGCAGATCCTGAGCAAGAATTGGAGAGCAAATAATTTATTTGGAAAGTGCAGGGAAATCCAGTAGGGAGCACGGGGAAGTAAGACAGAACAGGAAAGACGCCATCAAAGGGTTCATTATGAAGTACTTCCACTGGCGGTGACTGGAGCTCAAAACCACTAGAAAACTCCTGGCAACAGTGTAACTCACACTTGGCAATCCCATGGGAGGCAGAAAGAGGTTGGGTATTTATACTGCATCCCTGGGAGTCATTGGCTAATGGCAGCCCCTGGGGAATGTTAATTCCCCGGGGCAGTTCTGGCCTGACTGGCTCTGGCAGAGAGGTCCTTCCAGCTTTGCAGGAAGCTCCAGGCAACGCTATGTGGCTGCTGGTTGTTGGAAGCCAGATGGGTACACTCAGTGAAGGCTTGAAGGATAACACATTGGCTGCATTTTTTAACAGGTTTGTGAACAACTTTTCCATAAGACTTCCCTGCTCCTCCTCCTTCATGTTGAGCATCACACTCTACTAGTTTAAAAAAGATGATCCTTTTCCAGTTTGAGTTTCTGAGATTTCTTTCAAATTCCAGAGCTAAAGTTCAGAAGTCTGATGCTTAACAAAGCAGGTTCCTATCCTTCATAGCTGTGGGCTTGCAAGAAATTCACCAGCATTTTCTTCCATTTCTACACAGGTAAGTTCCCAGTATGGTTATGGTCATGTTTCTCCATCCACTGATCTCTTCCAGGGGTCCGTGAATTGTGACCCATGAGCCAAACACAGCCCACTGCCCGCTCTGTAAATAAAGTTCCACGGGAACACAGCCATGCTCTTAGGCTTATAAATTATCTGTGGTTCTTTTGCACAATGATGAAAGAGTGGAAGAATCGTGGCAGATACCATACTGCCTGCAGATCCTAAAATGATTTATCTTCTTGTCCTTTACAGAAGAAGCTCCCTGACCCTGATTATCCACGCTGCTGCACAGGATCTGGGGCTCTGATAGACCATGCCACGACAAGGGAGACCAGATTGTGGGGGAGGACTTGAGATATGAGTCCTGTATACAAGCTGCTTAAATGCCCAGGCTAGTCCTACCTTGACCCTGGAAGCAGTTCAAAATGCACTGTAAGGGCCTAATTAGCCAGAGCGGCTTCATACACAACATAGGGTTAGGGGGTGTAGTGGCCCAATGTTGGTCTCCAATGCAAAAGGCTGACATATGTACTAGGATGGCACACTGAAAGATTTACTGAGACAGCAGAACTCCATAGATGCTGTATTGCAAAGCAGAGTATAAGCAGAACTTACGCAGGAACTGTAAAAACAGGTTTTATGACTCTATAGGACCCTCCTGGCCAACTATATTAGGAACAAAGAGATTGCATTGATGAAAATAGGGAGATATTTGAAAAGGGATTCTTTGTGGAAGGCTGCTGGTGCCCCCTCCCCTGTAGGGGAAGAGAGGGAGACAGGTGGGTACTCGTGTCTCACCTCAAGCCTGCAAGAATGAGGCCAGTGGCACCGATTGGGAGCTTGAGATGAGTCACCCCGGTTAAAGAGGCTCAGAGTATGGGATCCAGCCACCTAAGGGAGGGTTAGTCCGCGGACCACTGCCCCAATACCATCCAAAGAATGGCCGCCTCTTGCAATCTAAACTTTTGGAACTGAGGAAAGACTCTCAGTTTTCAGAGAGGACAAATTTTTTCCTGGCTTACTTTGAGGTCCTGGCAAATTGACCCCCGTAAGCGGAAGCTCGAGCTTTCCCCGGCATGCTAACACAGGCTTCGGTCACAGGCGCAGTGGGAAATATGAACACCAGAGGGCGTCCGCCCATGCCGGAGGCGCAAACCCGCCCCGTGGGGTCATTCAGTAAGCGGGGAAGATGTCTGTGTGCTAGGCTGGATATTACAGCAAGAAACTCAGGAATGCCTCCATCTGATGTGGTCCAACTGTGCAGCAAAACTTTAGGGGATGCCATTTACATCCCTAGGAATTGTGCAATGCAGTGAGTGCCCCAGAAAGGAAACCCGGGGCCGATTTATTATGATCTGGGCTAAACCTAGCTCCTTGATGTAGATGCTGGCAAATTGTTTATAGTTCAAGGCTTATGAAATTCCACCACCTCCTCCCAAACCAAAATCCAAATCTTATTCCAGAGGGCCAAGCCCAAGCCCAAGCCCAAGGATATGCATATGTCAAAAACGCATGTGAATAAAAGAGAACAGAGAAAAAGAGAATAGCAGAGCCTGCCCCTGATGAAACATGCTGCTGTTTGCTGGGTGGAAACAGAGTTGCTAGTGCCTGTGCTGGATCTTTTAAT